GTTCTGCATGAATCCACACACCCCTGATGTTATCTGTCAAACTTTCATAGCGAATCAAAACAAACATAGTGTAGTAATAGAATTTCAACTAGAATAGGGTACGTTAATCGTTTGCTTGGGACCAATAGGCTACTAAAGTGGTGAGCCAATTTAAAATCGTTAGTTTCGTATTGATTGTTGCTATAACTCTCCACCGTAATTTGGCATTGACACTTGTAGCTTCAACAATATGGCCGAAATTAACTGTGAAAGTTAGGAAATCCCTTTTGGAAAACTAGTCCTCAGAGTTTCGTAAAAAAAATGTAGTTTAGTTCCTAATCGGAAAATATTAGACCTGTAGTTTTTATTTTTTTCATTAGGGTGACCATTTCCATGTTAGGGTAGTCCAAAAAATCGATTTGTTTCAAAAATAACTTTTTTTTTTCAAAAAATCATAACTTTTGAACCATAGGGATTTTAAAGATCAAAATATCAAATGAAAGGTAATTTTTTTTAGAAAAAATATAATAATATACATACATAGTAAATCTGAATTTTCAACAAAGTTTTATTTTATTTTGATTAGTTCTACAACTTTTCCCAAAAAAGTATCATTCTACCTCTTTAGAAAAAAGTTTGGTTTTTTTTTCATAGTAGGCCAAAACCGGAAATATTCCATTCAGAGGAAGGACAAATCCGTCGCATTTGTCTGGTTTTGCAATAGGCCTGAAATTCTGAGAAAGATTGTGACCTAAACTGTAACTACGAGTTCCAATAAGGACATACCAACTACTCCCATGTTCAAACGTATAATTCATTCATTAGCAACATACTGTACGCCTCCTCACCGTCGATCTAAGTTCGAGAACAACTGCCCGACAGCGTTTTTCCTTCGAAACAAACCTAAATTAATCCTAAATACCATTCCTTTTTGTGCAATTTTATACAGTAAATAACACTTTAAACAACCGAAAAAAAATGGGAACGTATCAGTCGACTTTAGAAAACAGGAAATAAGCAAAACTATGATACACAGTTACTTATATGATAACGTTATAGAGTGAGCAAAATACCATTCTTACACACACGCACAGGTTTGTCTATGTTCAATCAAGCGTGACTGCAAACAAACAATAGAAATAATGGAATTAAGCTAATCAGTTTTACACTTAATGGCTTTGGGTATTATTTTTTGCTGGTTTATTCAGTATTTTTTTCTTCTTCTTTCGGTAATTCTAAACTAACTAAACAGTATGAGTTTCTCTACTTATTCGTTATAAGGTCGATCGAGTTTTTAGTTTGTGTTCTCTCTAGGTTTACTTCTTCACATTGTTTCTTTTTCTTAAACCGTTTCTTTAGGTTTTAATTTTATTTTGAGCGATCTTGGTTCGTCCATTTAGGTGCTAGTGTTATGTTTTGCTTAGACTAGGGAAAACAAAATCATCCATTACGATAAATAAGCGTAAAATCTAATGAACGGTTACATAAAAGTAGGTGAGTTTTTTAACTAATGATTTGGACATTTGCGTACGGATTCGTTGGTAACTTAATAAGGTAAATAATAATTAGAATTTTTGTATTTTCATGAAGAACAAAACTGGAATCTAAGGGAAGACGTAGCATTTTAGGGTGACCAGACATGTAGACAAATACGCTACAAGTGGGAAGGGACCAAAGTTGATGCAACTTTGGACCGCCTGCCCCTTGTAGCGTAGTTTTCTACATGGCTGGTCACCCTAACATACTACGTCATTTATGCATCTTCCCTTAGCAGGAGGTGGAAATGATAGGTAGGATATGTATTTTGTTGGTGTTTCATCACAGTACTGATTGATATAATTTATCTTCCTTAATATAAGGGACGCCAAAAGTCCGCCATCATGAATGACGACATTTTGAATTTCACAACAGCGTCGAAATGAGAGTTTTAGAATGCGCGGCGCAAAGTCTCCTGAAGCCCCTAGACAAATATAAGATTCAGTTAATCTGTCAGTGACTTAATTTTACGTTCCTTTTCCCATGTTAAATTAGACGAGACATACAATCCCGCGGATACATCGTGCATCGGTTATAAGTTAGGTAACACAGTAGCACATTTCAGACTCATAATTTTGAAAATTTAGAGCCTACAAGCTACAGAGATTTTTTCTGGAGCACTCTCCGGAATTCCGCTAGTTCTCATGTTCCGAAAGTTTTCGAAATGTCTGGATTTCAAAAAGATGCAGAAGTTCCGTCCTTAAAGATCTCCAGAGTCTTAAAAGCTCACGAAGTACAGACATGTTTCCGTCTGTTTTAAGGATTATTAGAGTTACACAAGCTCTTCTTAAAGATTCTAGAGTTGTTGATATTCTCTGAGTTCCGGGAGTTTTAGAGATTTAAAGAGTGCTAGTACTTCCGAGAGTGGTGGCTGCTCTGTTAATTTTCGGAACTTATTGGAGTTCCAGCTTTGGTAGTTTTTGGAGTATCGAAGTTTTGATTGTTTTTGGAGTATCGATATTTCATAGAGTTCCGGGTGATTTTAGAACTTTCGGTTTTCTCGATACTCCAGAGATATAGGGGAAATGGCTTTAATGTTGGCCTACGGATCTAAGATTGGGCCCATCGCTAAAAATCTGCTATTTATCAATTGTATCTCGATGAACGCGCCATTGGAACGGTATTAATGGATATTTTTGGTCGCTATTGAAAATTTAGTCGATTGTTGAATTTATGTATGGGCCCAAATTATGGGCATTTGGGCCGACATTACATCCATTTCACCTATGAGAACTTTTCGAAATTCCAGTGACTTTCAAAATTCTTCAAACTTTATGAACTACCAGGATTCCGAGAATATCAAGAATGCTATTGACTCTAGGATTTCTAATCAGTGCTGCGTGCTGACAACAATGTCAATTGACGAAAGATATTGGAATAGCACTGAATTTCGCTTTCGACACTGATATTCTTGGTAAGCATCATATCAGGCGGTACGCCTTTCGTATTGCTATGCATATGAATATCACTAGGAAAAAGTTGAAAATCTTACTTTTATTTCAATAAATCAACTTCTTTGTATAACCGTTGCATTGTTTAATATTACTGATTAGAAACATTTGTGGCAGAACTTGCGAATGATATTGATATGCTAACTGTGTAAACTGATACTGATATCAGGTGGCTAGGGAAATTCAACATTTTGTAGGTATTGAGATTGATATTTTGCAGCACTGTTTCTAACACTCCGAGAGCTTTTAAAAATACAACAATAGCCTGAACTGTACGAACTCTCAATACCTTCAAGCCATGGATCCCAATGTACTAAAGAACTTCACTTTTCCACATTCGATCGAATGATCCATTCGGTGCATACCTAGGAGACTCTTATGCATCGTCCAGAAAATTACAAAAACCTCCTGGTTTCAGGTTATATTCATTGTTTCAAGGGTAATTAAAGCCTTTCATAGCAACATTGAAAGCCAGAGAAGATCCCAACAATTACAAAAATTTAACAGATATAGGATTTTGCGAGCAAGTATATAACCGACAAATCGCTTCCGTGACCATCCTATGTAACTGAGTGAGAGCTCAGCAGAGCTTAGCTAATAGCTACCGGATGAGTTGCAGGTTGCGGATAACGGAAATCTAACTAACCACAATATCTGAAAAAAGTCTTCGTCAAGCGAGTTGGCACAGTAAACCAATTGATCAGTGGAGTGTAATTGATCACTGAGAATTTCAGTGATGGCTTAATCATTAGCAAAATGAGTTGTTTTCGCTCTCATACGCTCTCAATATCACGCGAGATATTGGAGCAAAATATCATGTATGATATTGATTTTACAAGCTCCTTTGATATTGCGAGATTATTCACAACACATCAATTGTAGCTGAGAGTTGACTCGACGCAATAACGATTCCGCTGCACATCGTTTGCTTAGAAAGAGCAAGTATAGTTTGCCATCTCTCTTTACCCTTCACCGATGGCAGACACGAAGCTACTGCAGTCCAGCAGTTCGGGACGCGTTCGGGTGTAAAGCAAAAATCTTGAACCTCACTATAATTTGGTGAGAATTGTAGGTGGTGAATTTTGTTAACTACCACAACTTGTAATATCATTCGCAGTTATTTGCTTGTTGATTTTTGTCTAAGAGGAAGAGGAGACAACTGGCTTCTTTTTGCCTGTGACGTGTTCTTCTTCTTCTCTCGCGCAAACGACCGTGTTAGTATGGGCGACGCAGTCGACTGTCAAAATACAAGAAAATAGATTCCCTGTTGTAAAAATTCTCGTGTTTCTATACGTTCGTCTGACCAATCAGGCACTGGTTTGCAGTTTACAGAAAATTGGTTCATTGTCTCCTCTTCCTCTTAGATTTTTGTCTACGAAAATCAAGCGTAATCATGGTCATTGGTGAGATTTGATTATCTGATATTTTTCGTCATTGCTGAGAATTCTCATTGTTGTTCTTCAGATATCATACTTTTCGTGAAGAACTCCTTTAAAAATAACCTTGGAAATCATCCTGCAGGAATTCGCTAAAAAATATTGAAATTCTTTGTCAAATTCTGCGTGAAATTCCCTTGGAACTTTTCCCGAAAAAAACATTGGAATTATGCTCGGAACTCCCATGAAACTTCATTTCAGAATTCAACTCTATTGCATATATTCTCAGTATTCCATTGAAATATTTCCTTGAAGTTTGGGATTCCCTTTACTAAATACTCTTCACAATTCCCTTTCAGTTTTTTTTTATCCTATGAATTTCTTTTTAGAAGTTCACGAAGAATTCTCCTTAGAATCACCTTGAGCACGCCAAATGACAAATCGGAAAACTCGACCTTCTCCGATTTGCATAAAACTTGTGTTATGGACAATCATTCACATTTTTACGAAAACTCGGCCATTTTGGATGTTGTAATTTGAAGTTCTTCGGGTGTAAATGTGAAGATTTCTAGAGAATGCGAAGCCTTTCCTTGTCAATTTTCTTTGATATCTACTGCGTTTGGTAAATGGAAAATTGCTGATAATTTTTTGAACTAGAAGGCTTGTGATTTGCTATTTGAAGATCCGTAATTACTAGTTCAATTCCAAGCTCCTCTAGAGGTCCCATGATTCATCCTTGAGAGGTCCTTGCCATACTGCGCCCATTAGGTAGTTGAAACCTTCTTGAACGAGAATCTGAGGCTTTTGTCGATAAGTTCATAGCTAAATTGGTATTCTGGCCAACGTAATTCTAATTCAGCACAAACCCGAATAATTTGCACAAACAAACATTGTATGTCGTCCGGGTTTGTTGAAACTACTCCAGCCAACAGTGACAGTACGACTATATGGCGCTATTTCTCCGCTCGGTTTTCGTTCAAACCAGAAACTCCAAAAGGAGGAGCGGGGGTGCTAATGATAATGACCTGCTGCAACCGTTTCGTCGTCGTCGTCGTCGTCGTCCATGGTTTACAGACTGGCGTCGGCGACGGAGGGAAAGGATTCTCATACCCTGTATAAGAATGACTGAAACTGTTAACGCACATGAAGGCGCGTTCCTTGTTGGTGGCTAGAGGAGGCCACTGGCCCAGCTATTTTCAGGTGGAAGTGAGATTGCAATCGTTGTCCCCTACCTCAAATGTATGGCTAGCGAACCAACCACCCAGTCACAATCGAAACGAGTGGGTGGTTTGATCGACTGACAAACTGCTATAAATTAGGTGCAAACATCGGCCTCACGTTGATTGACGGTGGAACGATAAAGTTGAGAAGCGGCTATTGGCCAATCGATTGCCGTAGTATTTTTAGGGGCTATCACATGCTTTAATTTGCTGTCGTTTTTTGTAGGAACGTGCGAGCATCCTGTTGTTCACTTTATCCATCGACCATTAAGCGATTAGTTCCAGCAAAGAGCGGATGAAAAAGTTACACTGCGGCGTCATCGTGATGAAGTTTAGTTGGAGGCCAAAAATACAATTCATAATTAAGTTCAATGATGAAACACCAAACAAATGCGATTGTTCGATGTCTAGTTCTCATACTTATATTAGCAATATTAGTACCATTCCAGATCATAATAATTCAAGGTAGCCATATACTTAAACGAGAAAATAAAGACATTTACCTACTAATACTAATATCAATAATACACGTGAGGGTTTGAGGGTTTGGTTATACATGCACTCTTCTACTGTCACATCAACGATGATTTGTTTTGCTCCAGGAAATCTCTTCCATCTGATTTTGAATGGATCGAGGGGGTGGTGGTAAGGGACCGCCCCGCCAATGCACACGTACTCACACAACATAAACATGCACACATTCATTGTCGTCATCGTCGTCGTCCGTTGCGGTGGATTCCGATCCTACTATCTACTGCCATGCTTCGACCGTTCGGTGACCGCTTTCCAGAGCTTCCGGATTTCACCCTCCCGCAGATCTGGTGTCGTGAAGAAGAACAACAGTTCCGTGGCGTTCAGTTTGTTTTCGATGATGGCATCTTTTTGGCTTTTGTTGAGCAGCATGCTGCCGGTAGGGGTTATAGTCGCGTTGATCCGCTGCGCTATCGTGCCCGTCATGTGGACATCGTCGATCCAGAAGTACGGCTGCTGCTGAGCTTCCCGGTACAGCTGGAATGCCACGTCCGGGGTGTAGATTATCGAATAACCGGGACAATGGCTCGGGTAATAACGGTTCCGGTATTCCGGTATGCTGACGAACCATTTGGATCGATGGGTTCGTTTCACCGGCGCTCGCCGGATTTCCTGACAGAAGAGCAACCTCCGCCTCTGGGTGGTCGATTCGAGTATATCGTACAGCGTGGGAGTATTTACGAAGACGTCGTCGTCCGCTTTCAGGATGTATTTGGCTTCCGGGCAGTGATATGTGAACCATTTTAGTGCCATCACATGCTTGTAGGTCATATTCCGGTATGCGTCCAGGAAGCTGCCCTGCACGATGTCATCGTACATGCGGTTCTCCTGCTCTATCCGGTGCTGCAGGGTGCTGGAGTTGACTGCTCCGAGCAGGAAGACGAGCTTCGCTCGTGGATCATACTGTCCCCAGGTATCACGGATCGTATTGCGCTTGTACCAATTGTTTGGTGCCGAATGTACTAGTACTATAACTAACGGTGATCGTCGTTCGTCACTCTTAAGGCTATCACTTCGCATGCTTTCACGCTTGCTCCTTGCGCTATCGCTACTACAATTGTTAAAGTTGATAGTGAATTTAAAATCTTTTAAATCTATTAAACTGGTATAATCATCTTTTGGCAACCGTTCTACTACTGGCTTGACTAATAACAGCATGGATGGCGAGCTGCTCTGGTTCCAACTCACCGTCGCACTTGTTTCATCACCGGCTGCTCCACCTCCGGCCACTCCGTTTGAGTAATAGTAGTAGCTGCTAGGTGGGGGTGCTGCCGGAGGATAGTGCGTAAACGAGGGGGCTGGTGGTCCTTGCATATAGGGTGGCACGATGCCAGTCGGTTCGCCGATACCGCCACCACCAGAGCCGCCGCTGCTGTCGGCTTCCTGAAGCGACATGTGCCATATCGTCACTACCAGCGTCAGCACGATCAGAGCCCCAAACAGTGGACGACGCTCGAACATGACCCCGGGCACCACAACGCCTCAACGGGCACTGTGGTGAAGCGACGACGCTCTCACTCTCGATCAGCGCCGGTCCGATTTTCCCATCGTATGGTTGGCTGTGGGGGAAAATAAGGAGAATAAATGAAATGCGTTAGTCCAATTTATTGTCATGTCAAATTTGGTATATTTGAGCAATTGAGATAAGTAGGGTAGAGAACTACTTCGGCCTAATCACCCATTTTGGACCTATCGATCAGAAAACATCAAATAAATCCATGATTTCAGTGTTAACAAGTCTATTATGCGTTTCGTACGATACTTTAGTTAATAAGCTACCGAACGAATCATGTTTTATCTTCATCCGATAGGCCGAAGTGAATTCATTGGCGTTTCAATGGTATTTCAATGCGTTAGGCCGAGTTTAGAATCCGTAGGCCGAGTTTGGCGTCAAGAAGCAGTGTTAGACTTTTGACAATATCTCAACGATTGATTTCTCGTTATCAAATCTTACGGTACGTACGGTAAATAAATTTGGAAGCCATCAGTAATAAAAAAAAATACGTTCGGTGCTAAACTGCTATAGATTAAGAAAGACTAAGTGCGGGTTGTGCTTAATAGGCCGGAAATGGGGTACTCTATTTCATCAATTATTAAAAAAGCACAGAAGAACGTTTGTATTGCTAAGTTACCGGAGAATCAAACCCGCCTTGGTCTTCGAATGGTACAACTTGCTGAATCATTTGTTTTCTTCGTTTTCAGTTAAACTAGCCATAGGGTAGTCAAACAAAGAAAAAAGTGCTTTCCTCTACTAGTGTTGTACCTCTACCAAGCTCGCAACTTCTTAGCACGCAATCAGTTTTTGCGTCGTTGTTGCCATTTTCTTCCACCCTGTCGTCATTACTTCAATTTGCATATTATTAGCTTCTTATCGAGCAGCATGTTCGTGTGAATTCATTTATTTGTAACAAAGGCGCTACGACGCGACGGACCGCTGCGTGTGAGTGTTTGGAAGTTGCAGCACCGATTAACCTTCTACGGGAATAATTAATGCTGTTTGGAGAATGTGCCGTAAATCTTGACCTACCCTTGATCGTTCGCAATCAAACTGCCTTCAAAACCTGTCGTTCTTCTTCCCTTGTTTTCCAGGGCTGAGTTAAATATTTGTTTTTTTTTCTCAATGAGAGCATCTCTCAATTAGTATTCCTATTAACGTGAATTTCCCACAATACACTGGCGGCGATGTGGGTTTATCACTAGAGACTGTACTCGAAAAAAATGCCACACTTTCTATTGTGTATAACTTTCTATTGCATGGGTAAAAATTGATGAAATTTTGAGGTAAACTAGTTTAGAGTGTAATGTTTACATGTGCAAAATCTCGTTACAATCTGTCAAAATCAAGATGGCATCTAAGCAAGAAGTGCTTCGACAAAAAATTATGGGAGTGGTCGTGGAAAATCCAGGTCAGCCCATAGGCCGAACCGATAAACAGAATACGGTTGCCAAATCCCGCGCCAGGAAGCTGTACCGCGAGTGGTTTAATGCATCGTAATGGATGACGAAACGTACATTAAAGCGGACGCCAAGCAGATCCCTGGCCTGGAGTTTTTCGTCGGCAAGTCCTAGGGTGGCCAGTGAATTTTCATTTTGAAATTCCCGGTTTTTTCCCGATTTTTCCGATTAAAATCTTAAAAATGTCTCGGTTGTTAATATTCACGTACGCATTTTTAAAAACGTGTCCACCTGTAATTTTTCGTATGTTTATTTGTGGGAAAAATAAAAGCAAAATTATTGAGTGCTCTGTTACTAGGCCAAATGCTATCTGGATGAATAGGTTATAAGACAGAATTGGGAAAATAAGAGATTAAATTAAAGAAATGTTTCAGAAAAAAATAACTTGATACAAATGAGGATTAGAGGAAATTACCGTGCGGGACCGAAATCCGTACAGCACCGAAATCCATACACCCTGTTGAATTTGTTTATTTATATGCATCATAACAATGTAAATATTATACATGAATACATATTCATGTTCATTCATGCATTAGCTTAATGTTAACGTCAAGAATTAAGCAGAATGTCATGCAATTAAAATAAGAAAAATAAACACCTCAACACGTGTCGGGCATTTCTGTCAATCAGTTGCTTTCTTAACGATTTTCTAAGAAAATCTCTAGGATTTACTTCAGTTTGTTAAGCGTATTTCAGTGATGTTTGCAAGTAGTTTCCTGAAGGTCGATCGAAAAGATTAGTGTTTATCGTTTTATATCTCAATTCTAAGCAATGGATCGTTCATATGGTATTTATTTATCAAAATTAGTACTGGACGGATTTCGATCCATATATAACAGCTGATTCTAAATCCGTACACTTGTGCATCACTAATGACGATTCTACTTTATCCAATGTTTTTCAGCAGATCATGGAAACTAAATACACGCCGGAGGATTTGGAGAAGACTGTGGCAATGATGCGTGCGGAGAAATCTTACCGAGAAGCATCCAGAGATTTTGCCGTTCAATTCACCACCATAAGAGATGCCGTATTGAATCGCTACTCTCTTATTTTATTCGTATTGTAAACGTTATATTATTAATATCTTTTAATGAAGAGCGTCAAGAACCAGCCGAAAAGTAAAACAACGCAGCTCCCCTACAGGATATCACCAAAACGCATATACACATTAGGGACCATGCATAAATGACGTAGCATTTGAGGGGGGAGGTGAGGGTTTCAGAATTTGTGACCGGCCATGTATTGGATATAGCCAAATACGCTACGAGGGGGGGGGGAGGAGTATAAAATTGATCAAAAATATGCTACGTCATTTTTGGATGCTCCCTTACAGAGAGCAGACAGAAATGGGCCAGAGAGCATTCCCAGCAGTAGCTACCAGCGAGGAATGACCGGAAATACACATGAAAGTAGTGCGAAAGAAACAAAGGATTGAGGAACGACAAAAGAAAAAGGTTGAGCGAGAGAGGAAGAGGAGGAAAAAAAGGAAGAAGAGCAAACAAAGTTCCCTAATAAACAAATACCATGAACGAACTTTATCCCGGATGGGTAAACTTTCCCGCAAATGGTTTGGATGATACCCCGAACACGTCGTTAAGCTCTCTATTATGGTTATTTTTATTAGGGTTGGAAGCAAGAAAGCATTATAACTTGAAAAGGCAATGGTAAAAATGGAGAAGAAGCAGAAGAAAGCTGTGGAAAAGAAGCAATGAAAGATCTGTATTTTTATGATTATAACTCTCTTGACTTATTAAATTAAATTAAGTTATAGTCGTTATTTTACCAATTTTAATTTTCATGCACAAAACGAAAAACTAATCCTTGATGTCAGTTCATTGTCTTTTTTTGTTGGTTTCTAAGATGGTTGTATTTTTCTTTTACTTAGGAACCGGTTAATTTATCGCTTGATGCCAGTGGGTTGGTGGAGTTCCAAAGTATGGCGCATCTTGCACGTTATCACATGTTAAATTCCAAAAACCTCGAAGTTGTGATCGGAGGAAAACTCCAGTAAGAATATTTAACCCAAAGCACTGGTATAGAATAAAATTTGGAAGAAATTAATCTTTAAACATGATATTAGTTAGCATACAAATCCAGAACAGTTACCTTCTTAAATAAAAAGAATTCAGTTACCTCTCCTTTGAATCGATTGGAGCATAGATTCAGTGCCAACATTTCAAAGAGGCGTAATTGCTTTTGTAAACAATGACTTTAGCCGTCAATTTCTCGCGAATGAAATCTTACCTCTCCAAAATGACAATACTAACTGGTAGAGGAAACATTTCTCTACCTGCTGGTGTCATTATTTTTCATGAGTGAGCTTTTATTCACGAGAAATCGACGGCTAAAGCCATTGTTTACAAATGCAATTACGCCCCTTTGAAATGTTGACACTGAATTAATCTAACGCTGATATCATTAGTTAAAAAAGTAAAAGTAAAAAAAATGAACTTGAACCTTTGACGAATGATTCTTATGTAAAATCGTGCACTGAATTCAACAATGTAGTCGAAAAAAATGTTAGTAGGATAGTTTTTGAGATACAGCTAAAAATGAAAATTCACTTTAAACAAGTTTGATTACTATAATACAAATATCTCCGGTTGTAATGAGATTATATCAATTATTTTAACGCTAAATTAGAGGTAAGATTTTTTTCGTTCGATCAATTGAACATCAATTGTCAGTGAGATTGATGGTATTGTTGTTAGTTAATAGTTTGTTTTTTAAGTTTTTCCTAAGAAAAATTGAATTTCTGCTAAGTTTTTAAGCAATGTAAATTAAAATGTTTATGGTGGTTCTACCATTACTCTCACGGAAAAATAGTGTTATAACGATCGAAATAAAATTTTATCACGTTTAATTTGGCGTTAAAATAATTAATATCACTTCATTGCAGCCAGAGATATTTGTGTTTTAGTTTTTTTAACGTGAGATTTCATTCTTTAGCTAGGGGAAGGAGGGGCATAGTGAACAGACGGGGCATAGTGAGCATCCCGTACTTTGGCTCTGGATCTCCAACTGCATGAAACAAATCAACTGGTAGTAGGATAAATATCATTAAGATATTGATCCTACAGCCAACAAATTTGTTCTGAACGGCCGGAAGTCCAAGCTGGAGCACGCGCGATGCTCACTATGTCCCACCTGTTCACTATGCCCCTCTTACCCCTATATCTCCAAAACTATCCTACCGAGATTTTTTTGGACTACATTTTTGGATTCAGCGCACGATTTTACATGGGAAATACGTACAAAGTTCAAAATATGCTGTAAACTAGTGTATTTAAACGAATATAGCTGTTTTGGACTCTTAGCCAAGCAACTACAAAAAAAAAAAACTTTATTCAAGATAGCAACACGTTTTTTCATTGATTTGGATCGATTTACATTCATGTACGGATTTTGATTCATGACTGTACGGATTTTGATTCATCCTCAACACAGTGTACGGATTTCGATTCAAAACTGTACGGATTTTGATTCAATCGTAAAAAGCTGTACGGATTTTGATTCAGGATATGTGCAATTTAAATCCTTTTTTCTAATAATTAAAGGTAATTTTAAGACCTGGTGTTTGCAAATATTGGAAAAATAA